GGCTTGAGAAATACTGCTATGAATGAACCACCCACAACTTAGAAGAAGATTTGGAGACTGTAGATAACCTGCCCCAAGTCAAGGGATTAGTCAGTACCATGCTCATGTATGAAATGATGAGGCATATAGAATGTCTTGGCTCTTGAAGTTGAGAAAACACTTCACTGACATACTCGGGAAAATTCTAGGTGAATTTAAAAAGGACGTTAGCATTGCAGGTGAATTTTAAAAAGATATTAGCTTGTATCGGTTAAGCAAAAGAATACATTCCGTTTTACAGGTGGCTAATACACAGGCCTCAAACCTGACAGCAGCATATCAGAACTATCTGGGGATATTTTGAAAATACAGATTCCAGCTCCCATCTCAGACCAGATAATCAGAAACTGTATATTATTTATACTTTTCAAAATGATTCTTATGCAACTGATCCAAGAAGTTCCAGTGACATAGGTGTGTTGAGAAATGCTGACTGCTGACTGGCTTAGGATGGCTTATAAACTATAGCACGGAGCAGAATAACTTAGGAAAAGGATCAAAAGCATGCTATTTTTTTAAACTTATTTAAAGAGATTCCAATTACACGAGCAAGATCAAGGAATCAGTATTGTTCATAAATAACCTCTGGTGATTCTAGGTCTGTTGACCCAGGAACCAGGCTTTTCAGTAACACTGAAAAGGCAGCTGGCATTGGAGAGGTTCTTTTTAAATTATTTTTTTACAATATTTTCAAAGTAGATCAAATGAAAAATATATAGTAACTATGAGTTAAGAGTAACTAAATTGTTTAGATATAGTCAATCTGGCTTCCTCAAATATCCACTCCCTGTTTTATTGTCATCTGGGGATTTGCAATGTGCCTTCCTCTGCCTCCCTGAAATTTTTGCATTGATAAAAAGTTTTAGATTATTGTAATAAGAATGTGGGTGATATAGAAAAATCTATCATATTTTAAAATAATGCTCGTTAAATGGTTGCTTTTCTATGGGCAGTTAAGGTCTTAGTGGGTAGTGAGTACATGAATTGCAAAAGATGAGGTAGAGAATGAAGGGGAAGTTAGTTAAAGGAAGAAGTTTAGTTAATTGAGCACTTTCTATATTCCAAGCATTGGATTAAGTTTTTCCATATATTAGTTTAGATAATCAATTTTATACTTTAAATGCCTATTTAGAGAAATAAGAGGGAAATCCGTTTGAAACATTTACTTCCAAAAAATTATATGGTCATTGGAATTTCATTTGCAAACATATGCATATATCAGTTTAGATCTTAGATGAGAGAATAACTGTGCCAGAAGGAACTTGGCAAACAACAAGGTCCAGAAAAGTTAGGTGGCTTTCTCAAAACTATAGTTTGTTGAACCTATAACCCAGTGTAGCATTATTCATATTTCTGGTTTAGTAGGCTCTCTCTCATTTTTGTTCTGTTACCTGCTGTGTATAATGTTTATGAATATGGATGCATTCAACATGAATTACTGAGAGGGAGACCACTTTGGATACTGGTTGAGCTTGCCCATTTGCAAAATGCTACAAAATCTTTAGATGAGAGACAACCTGAAAAGAATATCATCTGAATTGACTGATGTTTGCAATACAAACGAGTGCAGTTAGGGAGGAAGGAAACTGGATTTCTCTCCGTGCATAGTTTGGTAATAAATACATGCCCTTCACAGTGCTTGCATTTACATTCTCCTCAAATACCAGGTGTCTTTCCTATTAGAAACAGTTGGCATTAACATTTGAATATAATGTTAACATGTTTCCAATCCTTTTAAATCTTTCTTGAGATGTTACTTCTTTTGGGGTGCTAGAATGCAATAAGATTGGAAGGAATAAAGCCTTCCTTTGCATCTAAGCAGTAAACTGAACAATGAAATAAATATCATATGCAACCTCTAACTGATGTCAATAAGCTGGAACTGTTATCACACATAAAAAAATTCTGCATGATCCCCAAAACAATTTCCTTATTCATTGAACAAATATTTGCCTCCTCTGTTTTAGGCACTGTGCTTATCTTTTAGATCCTGAAGTCTGCATATCTAACAGTTTGCTTGGAATTAATTCATTAAGAATTTCCTCTAAATGAGATCAGAGTTCAAGGGAACTCAAAGATATGGTTAAGCACAAAGTCATAATGAAAGGACCCAAATCTTGTTTTGGTAATATTACTTCATGCAAAGACATTTTCTAGGTGATTACCTTAAGACTCATGGAATCTAGTTTGAAAATAGGCATGCAAAATGATATTAATAGTATAGTTTCCTATTCTTTCCATATTTAACCTCCAATTGGAGGCAAGAATGTAAAGCCGCAGCAAATAATTCTTAAATATTCTGTCACTTCACACCTCAAGTGCTCTAAGCTTTCTAAGCCCTCACAACAGAAAACATTTATGCACATTCTAGGATTATCAGGACTTATGTAGTACATGCACAAATTTTAGCTGATATTGGTTTCCCACTAGGATAACTTTTTTTTCCTGTTGCTGTTTCATATTGTAAAATTTATGGCTGTCATAGAATATGACTGTCATGTCTTTTTTCAGAGTATAATACTGCTGGGTATGAAGAATTCATTATACATTCTTACTGCAAATACCTATAATGATTACTATTTATATATTCTTACCAGTAAGTCTTATAATAATTAACATTTAAATATTCAGACCATTGAAAGTAACAGATTTTTGATATTTTGGAATAAAACTTTTTAAATGGTTTATTCTCTTTTTATATCCACAGTTTATCCTCTGGCATAATTATTTGTTTCTATAACCAATGGCAAGTTAATTTTGTTGAATCAATATCTTTCACCATGAGATATCCTTTAAAAGAGTTAAAATCCACAGGATTTATTTAAAAAGTGTCTGAGAACCATATACCATCGTGAGGGTTGCATTTCACTTAACATGTGGTGAAAGCCTATTTCCTTCTGTCCAAGCACAACTCCTAAAATATTTAAGACAGAAAGAATGCTAACAAGTTTGATATCTTATTTACTGTGTACTTTTTCAAAAGTCAAAGTGCTTCCACATAGAGTGTACCATTCCACAGGCCCTAATTATACCAATAAGGCATTCACATTTTTAGGAGTTGCAACATACTTCTTTTGTTAGGTGAGAATTCGAAGAAAAGAATATAGAATTAAAAGATACAGCACCTTTACATTCCAATCTTGGCCATGGCAGTAGCTGCGTGTGTGTGTGTGTGTGTGTGTGTGCGTGTGTGTGTGATATGTGTGTGTGAACATGTTTCTTTCATAAATATTATCTCTGGATCTGATTTACTCATAAGTAGAATAAAGGAATTGGCATGTAAACATTGCTATAATGCCATCTAGCCCTAAAACCTATGGATAAATGGGCCCATAACGGATGGGGTAAGTTCACTCGTTCATTTTGGCACTTCAAATTCAGAAAATTTAAACTTCTGGGAGTCGGTAACAGGTTTTCAATAGACAGATGTGCCAGTTAGTCACTTGGTGTTATTACCTTGGCTTGGGTCACATTATCAACAGGTGATCATAGACAGTCTACAAAAGAGACCAAGTTCATAGTTGACAAGAGAGGCGATGTGTTCAGGTTTATCAGTTCTTTGAAATCATGAGCACCCACCATAACAAAGATGGGTTGTCATGACAATGAATGCATTTCTGCTTTTGAAGAAGCAGATGCTTGCTAAACTTGTTAGCCAGGCATCCTGTTTAGATCCCTATGCTTTTTACAGGCCCAAAAGATAACAAAGTAAGTGTAAATATATGAATTAGACTGTTTTAACGTGATGAAATAAATGTGGGTGGAGATCTGTTCTTATGTAAGAGGGCATCCACACAAACATACTATTTCTTGATGCAGTGTGGTTAGAAGAGATAATATGGAGGGAAGCAAAACTGGATCAAATGAGTAAACAAAGTTTGCAGCTCAGAAATACGTCAAATCCCTAAGCAACTGGGGAAATTTGCTACCTCATTTTCATTAAATCAGCAGTGACTCAAATCAACTCCATTGAGAGTAGTATGTGCATAAACATAGGCTCAAAGAAAGCTTCTGTGTATCCCTCCACTGAATTGTAAGCTCCTATAGGCCAGTGATAGTACCTTGCTCATCTTTATCTCTGGTTAGGGTGTTGCCTGACACAAAAGACCAGTTCAACATGGGTAAGAAATGAACTTGAGGATCAAACATTTCTCCATCTAATGCAGGAATCTTCCTCTGTTCCAATCCTTCTAGTGTTCCAGAGAGCCCATTCCTACACAAGGGAGTCTGGAGTACTTACTGAACTGAAGTTTGCCTCTATCTGACTTTCATTTGATGTAGCAGATTGTGAATTTGTGTTCAACTGCTAATGTTGACATGTAGCAGGACAATTAGAATTAGATCCAAATGGATGTCATCAGAACATCCCAATTCTTTTGTTGGGTTTTTGGCCTGAGTGGAATAGAGTCATTAAAGAGTCTTTTGGGAAATGCTTTCCTTAACATCCCATCTTTTCTCACCTACTAATAATTTCTGCTTATATCCAGTCCTTAACCTTACAGAGGAAAAATGCTGTATAGCAACTGGAGATTCAGGGATGAATTTTTCCAAAAACTTAGAGTAATGAAAAATTTATTTTGGTTCTGTAAAGCCCTCATAGCCATGGTCATGTATGCTGTATATGAATAATTACTAAAATGAAATATAAAACATCATCTCCAGTTAATATTTCTAGGCTAGAACTGTTATTCCATGGAAACAAACAAAAATTTCCCATGACTTTCAATGACAATCATTGATTCATTCAATAAATATGCATTGAGATCTTACTCCGTGTTAACATTGTGTTTTCTATAGATCCCCCCTTTTATTATGTTTAACATCTTACATTTACAACTTGATAATTTTATTTAAGTTATTTTAAATGATAGGACATGAGCACTGGGTGTTGTATGGAAACCAATTTGACAATAAATTTCATATATAAATAAAAAAAAAACAAAAAAAAAACAAACAAAAAATAAATGATAGGACAAACCTCTGAAATGTTTTGTCTATGTGACTGTCTGTATGGCAAATAGAAACTTTTAAATATTGGGGCTAGGGGAACAAATATGGTAAATTGATATGTTATTCAAAATTGTACATAAATGTACCATGTATAAATATGATTTTTATCTCTACACATCCTTTTCCTTTGTTATTTGGGGAAATTGTTTGCTTTATTATAATAATGAGTGTTAGGACTGGGAAGAGAACGGTCTTAGATATTCTTAAGTGTTGTCAGGATTATTTCCCAGGTTCTAAAAGTCCCCCCAAATTGGATATGTAAAAATACTTGAATAATTTAACTTAAGATCATGAGAACAGGTAGCTGCATTTGCAAGACAGCTTAATGAAAATAAATGAGAAGTCTACTAGTTTCCTGAATAAAACAGTTCTGCTTCAGTCTCTTTCTTATTCATTACATGAATAATTTTTCCTTCACAAAAAATGTGGTAAACAGGTAAAAAATAGATCAAACAGAGGCAGTTATACACTTTGTTCACTTCAATGTCAAAGAGGTTAGAACTCAATTACCAATGCTTTTCCTTTGTTACATTATGCGAAGTTGGAACTAGAAATTATGATATTTAGTGAAAATATTTCATATTTTAAGTGTGCATCTTCATTTCCCAAATAGATTAAACAGCTGACCAATGTAGAAACAACAATCATATCACAAACTTACATTACAAACAACTACCAAAATGTGGAAAACAATGTTTACAAATGGTAGCAAAGAATAAATTAACTTTCAGTGCACATAATTAGGTATATACAGGATAATTTAAAACCAAAGGGAGTGATTGCTAATGCTGAGCTCTCAAAAATCTCCATCAAAATATACATGTTACCCAAGAGACAGTGATAAAAATAAATTGTGACAAAAAGCAGAATGTTGTCTCTCTTCTTATCCTCAAAACTTGGATGATAGCTCATCAAAATAATTTCTCCAAGTGTGCAAATGATGGAAAACTTTAATTCCAAAACCATTTCTCTAAATTACCCACAGATTTATATTCTTGATGCCTTTTCACATGATCACAAGCCAAGCATGCATGTGATTCCCAAAATCGTGGAAGGTTTACTGTGAAATCCTTCCTCCAGTTAAAGTAACTAAGGTATAACTTATTGTTTTTGTCAACTTCTTTCAGATATTTTGCGAGCTCACTGGGAGAGTTATAATCTTCCACATGAATGAATGAATCTGCTGGAATATAATTCTCATAATTTTCCCTAGACGGCCCCAGAACAACAGGGACAGAGCCGGCTAGAAAAGCATTGTAGAGCTTTTCTGTGATGTAATCTTTGTGGATTGAGTTTTCAAAAGACAGATAAAATTTGCAAGTAGATATGGTAGGAATCAAATTTTTATCATTCACATACTCTCCAAATGCTTGCCCGTATGTATGGATTTCAATGCTTTTGCTCAGCTCATTGTAATACTTGACCCTCGCATGCTCAGGATTCCAGTTACTTACAACCCAGCACACTAACTTCTCTTTGCTTGGCACTTCAAACACGAAGGGGTTTGTGCTCACCGTCAAGAAGCCATAAGGCACTTGGATATCTGAGTCACGGCGGTAAGTCAGAGTCAAGTTGAACAGGTGCTCAATGCCACTCTTTTGGGGCGTGTGGGTTGGTGATTCCAAATTCATCCAAATCCATTTCTGGAAGGGTGGCCTAGCCTGCTGAGGTAAGTTAGTCAGATCCCAACTGATGTCTCGGTGATGGATCAGAACCGCATGAGATTTGTTGTATAGGGAACGGTCTGTGGTAAGATGGCATCCTTGGATGTTGAACATTGTTTGGCAAGATGTAAGGTCAAAGGTCTGCCCAAATGGCCACACCCAAATCAGGATAGTAGTTTCATTAAAATAATCAGTTTTGGTGGAGAAGAAGTTTTTCATTTTCAGCACTGAGCTGGCTGACTCCATTGGACTGAAGATCCAGCTGTTGGTGGGCTTGATGTAAATGAGCAGGCATGCCATGAAACAACCCAGGATAATGCAGACAATTAAAAATGGACGGAGAATTCCTTTGGATGCTGATGTCATAATTTTTTCTGTGAAACACAGAGAGAAAGATAGAGAGGGGTAGTGACAAAATGTTAACCATAATTGGAGATCGACAAGTGGTACATCTCAAAATACACTTAATCACAAAATCAATTGCCTTTTCCTTTTTCAGTGTCATTAAACCATTGAGAGAATTAGAGCTTTTGTTAAGCCAAGAAACTGCTTTTAAAAGGAAGTTTCCCTTGAACTCTAAAAATAATAAATCAGAATTTGTTATAAAAGTACCAGCATATCTTCGAGCTGAGTTACATCTTCTTCAATGCCATCCTTACCTGTTATATTTTTGTTTGCGTCTACAAAAATGGCATAACAAAGACTGTCACCACTGAAGGTATGACTAAAATCTTTAGTACTTTGACACCACATCAGATTTGTGAACATTCCCTAGTTAATATAATCACTTATTCACTAGTGTGCTTTTAGAGATTGTGATACAACTTTGTAGTTCAGATGGAATTCTTGGCATGTTATCTTCACTGTCCGAAGTGAGTCACAAGTCATCCTGTAAAAAATAGCAACTTTTGGTTTGATATCCGCTTTTTTACTTTGTTTCGTTTTGTCTTTTATTTAAGTACACTGACAACAAAAATTTGATAAATTAAAACTTCTTGTTTAACTTTAAATGTTTACTTTTTCTTACCATTTTTCCTGTTTACTTTTAGTAATCTGTTAGTACACTCAGGATCTCCTAGGCATTCTCACTTACATGGTATTGGGTCATTAAAACAATCTTTTTGGTTTTTTCTTTTTTAGCATTAAAATACCATTAGTTAATAAGATAAATGGATTCTCAAAATATATTCCATGGAGAACAGCACTGATCTTGTGAATCATAGTAGATTGAAACTAAAAAGATGAATCAAAGCTTTTTAAAAACTTTTTAAAATACAAGAATCTTCAAGGTGTTTCCTCTTTGACATTCACGTCTTATGAATATGAACACAAAGATAAGATATGTAATATGTTTACAAAACTGTCTTTTGATCAAATTCTTACTGATTCTCGGAAGCTCATTATTCTTCTCACCAAAATAATGTGGCCTAACGATTTCAGATTCATTAAAATATTTTGAAATCTTGATCAAAACTAGTGTAGAAACATTAGATGTGGCCTTGTGTGCATGCCTGGCACCAGGGCAGCTGGGAGCCTCTCCTGGGGAGGGGGAGGGGGAGGGACAGGTTTTGATTCCCACCATGGCTATCACAGTTTCAGTTACTTAAAGTTTGCACTTGCCCCACAACACTATTTTCATTCCTAAAGAGATTAACATGCAGATCTGGCAGTAGACGGAAGTTAAGTGGAGACCAAATAACTTTGCCAACTGCAGTTGATTATTTGTCGGTTCCTAAACAGACAGATGCTGAGGAGTGGATGTCCTGGGATGAAGATACACTCACAAGTGTAGATTGAAGGAGGGAATGGGGATGTGATGACACAACAAAATACTGTGGAACAATTGGAACCTGACTATTTTCAGGACATGACACCAACTATAAGGAAAACGCAGAATCATTATTAAGAAGAGAGAACCATTACAGTTTGGCCTCCCATATGGTAGCACAGGTTTCTCTAGTAGATTAACAGCTACACAATATGTGCCTTTTATTCGTCAGTCTCCTGAATTAGGCAACTTGGATACCTGGCAGGAAAATACCAACGCATGGGAAGGAGAAGAAGATGCAGCCTGGCAAGCGGAAGAAGTTCTGAGGCAGCACAAGATGGCAGACAGAGAAAATAAAGGAAGAAAATGGAAAAGGAGGCACAGTGGCTGATGAAGAAGGAACAACACAAAATTGGTGTGACGCTTTCATAACAAGTGCTCTTCACATGTCATAGTGCCAGGAGGAGAAATATGAGCTCCACAACTCAAGCAACATTTCGAGGGATTTAAGAGTATTTTCAAGGGTACAAAAACACAGTGTTTGATTTTAATGCATTCATCAGACCATCTAGGACACCAGGATTCTCTCAGAGTACCTCGAGATCTCAGTGATTGAGACTCAAAGGAAAGAAAAAGACCCCTGAGGCAATAGTTTTTTCAACATGCTCCAAGTGTAAGGCAATTGTTTGCTGTAGAGAAAATATTACAAATGGAATACACCAGTATCTCTTCTAGCTAGTGTTTCTAACTAAATAAATGGGTGTAGGGGTGCCTGGACGGCTCAGTGGGTTAAGCGGCCTACTTCGGCTCAGGTCATGATCTCGCGTTTCATGAATTTGAGCCCCATATTGGGCTCCATGCTGACAGCTCAGAGCCTGGAGCCTGCTTTAGATTCTGTGTCTATCGCTCTCTCCCCCTTCCCCACTCGCATTCTGTCTCTCCAAAATAAATAAACATTAAAAAATTTTAAATAAATGGATGTAAATAGTTTTATGGTAGGAAAGAAGTCTGTGATGCTTTCCTTTGCTATGCGTAATGATAAAATAATTTTAAATATTCTTTTGTTTCCATGATTATCTGACTTAAGTCAGACAAACTGGAGGGCTTTCTTTATTTTTGTTGGCAGAAGCTGGTATTGGTATACATTTCCTCTAATTTGAACTGGAATTGTTTATGTTTACTAAGACATTAATGGATTTGATGACTTCGGTTTTTAAGAAAATGACACTATGTATCATATTTTATACATCACTGTTTTCCTTTAGATGGTATTGTAATGCTGTACATAGTTGTAATTTATATTGTAGGTATAAATTGAAAATCAGCAAAGTGACAAATTTGATTTGTATTATTAGAACTTGTGAGGTTTTTAAAAAAAATTTTTAATGTTTATTTATTTTCAAGAGAGAGACAGAGTGAAAGCAGGTTAGGGGCAGAGAGACAGGGAGACACAGAATCTGCAGCAGGCTCCAGGCTCTGAGCTGTCAGCACAGAGCCCTACACTGGGCTCGAACTCACAGACGGTGAGATCATGAAGCTGAGATGAAGTCGGATGCTTAATCAATGAGCCACCCAGGTGCCCCTAACTTGTGAGTTTTAAAAACTAGTATCGGGTGATGGGCATTGAGGAGAGCACTTGTTGGGATGAGCACTGAGTGTTGTATGCAAGCCAATTTGACAATAAATTATATTAAAAAAATAAAAAAATAATAAAAAAAAACTAGTATTAGTAGTTTTTCCCTTTTGTTATAGATTTTAAGATGCTACAGTGTTTTAAATAGCTTAGTCCCTCTCACACAAAGGTCATTGATTTATAAATGCAGAAAGCCTTCAGTTCCAATATTTCAAAGCTTTTAGATGATTTCCGTATCAATTTTATATATCTGTCAAAATGCAGTTTACCATGTTGTTGGCTAAGATAATATTATTGATTCATTAAATTTTCAACTGAGATAGGAATAATATTTTTATTTTTGGGTGTTGACTGGCTTCAAAATTGTTTCAAGGAAAAAGATGTATACTGTGTTCATAGGAAAGAAATAGATTTGATAGTTTAAAATCCTATTATTTTTTCTCCACAATTAAAATACATCCAGACTGATTTTCTATGGCTTTAGAATTTTTTAAGGATTTTTACTTTCATAAATGTTGTCCAAAATTAACATTCTGTGGTTTTTTTAAAAATGTTACAGATACTCTAAACTATAGCTCAAATGTTTGAATTAAAATATTTCATAAAATCACAGACTATACAGTGAGATCACCCTAAGTCCTTACCCTAAGCTCCCAGACTAAATGTGATTGTAAAACCAGTTGAAATTTAACTTTGGTAAAAAGCTGCTTTTTGCAGTCCCAAGCCACACTGTCAGTCATCATGTTTATTAGAGTTTCTGCCAAAATACTCCTAATTAAATAGAATAGACTCGAATTTTTAGTAATATATGTATCTCTTTCCTTATTTATATTTATTTATTTTTAGTCATGGGAATGCTACATGATTTCTCTAAATTTGGGATTCATTAAAGGGTAACTTCTCCTTTAGTACAATAAATTTTACTGCTTTTCCCAAATAGTTGACAAGTATTGAAGACTGCTTTGGTTATGCCTTTCATGGGTGTGGGATTTTACTTTTTTGTTTGTTCTTGATTTTTGTTTAATTAGAAGTAAAAATTGGTTAGAAATTATAGCTTGTTTGATTAATTAGAGGCTTTTCTTATGGAAGGAATAAGTAACAATACTGGGGGAAAAAAAGAAACACTAGATGTTTCCTTCCAGAAAAAAAGGGAGAAATTGTTCTTTATTTAATTACCTAAATTTATGTGAACATTTAAAAAAAAATCACATTTTTTTATACGGCTTTTTTTGAAAGCATATGACATTTGCTATGTAGTAAAGCTTGATTTTGTGCATCCAAAGATTCTGGATATTGTACTCTGGAGCACTCCTAGGACAAATTTTGGAATCAAAGACTGAGACTTACCATCAAAGTTAGCTATCCAGTAAATAACAAAAGGAAAATAAGTGTCTACCAACTATGTCCAGAAACTATTTTTAAATGTTTATTTTTATGTATTATTTTTGTCATTTAAAAATTTGTTGCTTTAGGTATATTTCTTACAAATAGCATATACTTGGATTTGTTTTTTGTTTGGTTTCATTTTTGAGGTATAATTAACATATAATATTATATTAATTCCAGGTGTACAACATAATAATATACAGTTGACCCTTAAACCACACAGGTTTGAATTGCACAAGTTCACTTCTATGCAGATTTTTTTACAGTACTGTAAGTGCATTTTTCTCTTCCTTGTGATTTTCTTAATAATATTTTTTCCCTCTAACTTACTTTATTGTAGAAATACAGTATATAATACATATAACATACAAAATATGTTTTAGTCAACTATTTATGTTATCAGTAAGGCTTATAGTCAACTGCAGGCTATTAGTAGTTAAGCTTTTGGGGAGTCAAAAATTATATGTGGATTTTCAACACCCGTAACTTCTGCATTGTTTAAGGTCAACTGTACAATGAAATGAGCACCACATATATCCCACATATATATATCTTTTTTTCTTGTGTTGAGAACTTTTAAGATCTAC